AAAAGATTTGCCAAGTTTGCTGAGAGCCTGACCCTGCAAGTGGCCTCCTGTGCTCATACGAAGATCTGTCAAAATCTGTCATGTCTGAAAACAAGACCTTTCTCTGTCTGGATGCAGCTCCAGGACTAGAACCCATATATGCATATGCTAACAACTTTATATGTGAGCTTTTCACAAAGAGTATTAAGGACATTTTAATTGGCTTAAGGCTCTATATGGTTAGGCTTTCCTAGGTCTACTGACACAGCACAAAAAAAGGCACTGTGTGTATTCCACACCCATTAGGAGGTTCCAAGGTTTGTATTTAATTTCAAAGGATCTCAAAGAAATCTCATTTTCCTTAAAGAAAGACCAAGAGAATGCTTAGTGGCAGAGATACTTGAAGGGGGACAAGGTTTTGGACCCTGACTTCTCAAGTATAAACAGTGGGCCAGGACCACACTCCTGATCCACTAATGAAAGTTCTCTCAATGATTGTTGACTGTTTTTATTCTTCAGGGGCCAAGGTGAGATCTGCATAGGAGGGGCTTGAGCCATCTGAACTAAAGCTGTGTTTTAAATGTGTGGGCACAGCAACTGACTCAGCAAGCACAAAATGTGTGATCAATGTGAGGAAGAATTCCTGATGAAACCTCTTGTTGGGAAAAGGCAGATGTGTGTGCTAACACCTTAAAGGAAGTCAGTCTGGAGGAGAAAAAAACTGAAGAGATTTGCCATACAAGTCACCCACAGGAATTAGCAAAGCTGACCAGTAGATAATACTACATAAGAAGGGAAAATGGAATTGAATTTAGGAGTAGTTAAACAAAAATACCACAAATGAAAATATATAGGCAAAGTTAACGTGAGTTCTGGGGTCTTCCATTATCAAGAAATACCCTCCTAGCAAACCAAAATGCCATGTTAGCTACAGTGAAAGCCACAAGAAATCTTTTTATAATCACTTGTACTAATGTTCATATTCTTGCACTCCCAAGCTGGAAAAGAAACAGCCCTTGTAACAAATTTAAGGCCTCTCTCAAAATTGCACACATTCATGTATTTTTGTCACCAATCAAAACAAAGGGTCCAGAAGAGCAATTATTTACTGCTGGGCATTATGAAAAAATATCTCTGAATTAAATTATTTTCAATACTCCAAATTTTGAGCACATGAATGGAATTATATTCTTTTAATAACAATACTGCCTTTTAAAGGACATTTTGCACTCACCCAGAGATACATGGAATTCTGAGTACAAATACACGCAAACCCCAACACTTAGTCAAGAATCTGCTTTTGTTTTTCTCGTGGTTGTTAATTTTTCAGAGGCAAACTGAAACAATTTCATCTGTATTGATTCTTTACAAAACTCACCCCGGTGCACAGAAACAAATTCAGTTTCATACCATACAAGACTTCAAAATAACAGTATAGAAACTACCACATGAGGTGAATCCTAAGGCCAGTATGTCCAGTACTAGGTCTCTAAGAGAGGCAGGACTTCCAAGAAGGTTTAAGTGAGAACAATTTATGGTGAGTCACTGGTTTATTTTATTCTAGCTTGTATACCTTTTTGGATTATAGTTTGTTTGTGAATAGATCTCTCTGTGTATATGAAACCTGAGTGGAGAATAATTAGATGAATCCTGTGGTTTTGTTCAAGAGTAACACTGGCAACCGGATGCCCTGTGTGAAAACTGTGACTCCAATCTTCACTCCCAGTAGCTTTTCCTTATAATGTGCTCTGTATCTGCCAGGAACTTGATGTGCAAGAATAGTCCTAACTTGCTAAAACTTCTGAACATTTCAAAGAGGCACTGTTGGAGTACAAAAAACTTTGTCATGCCATTTACCAGAGCTCTTCTGCAATACGCTTTTCAGATTTTTGCCCCAAAGTAGCTATTTAGAGCTCTTAATATTTCATGGAGAAACCGAATTCACTCCTTGTAATGAAAACACAAGATGCCACCAGTAGCTCAAAAGAGCATGAAATGTAGATTTAAAATGAAAGAATTAAAAATAAGCATTTTCGTTTTGCATCGTCCTTGTCCATATAGAAAATTCCTGGTCCACAACCTGTGTACTGCACAGAAATTGTGTAATAACAAGACACCCATACTTTTAGCAGGCTTTCAAAGCCTCTGAGAATATCAGTAGCCTTGCAAACCCTAAAATACAGCTTTTTGGCAGTTCTCATAAGAATTTTCATAAGAATTGTTGTTGACCACATATCTACAGAAAATTCTGTTATTGCACAGTATCACAACAGCAACCCAACTAGTAACTAGGCAGTCATGCAGGCTCACAGCTTCCTACTCCACAAATGCCAACAGAATAAGGGGCTCATCAAAAACGTGAATAATCTTAAAAATACTTTGATTCATGTTTTAAGTTGATAGGGAGATATGAAAGGTGCCAAATCAGCTTCCATTTCAATATCAATATTAAAGACCAGCACTGCCCTCCATGCTGAGCTGCTCATCATCACCTGGATTCAGCCAAGCCCCCTTACTTCATCACAGACATGTTCATAAGCTGGGATCCAATTAATTTATGGAACTGTACAGGATACATACAGGATACATATCATGTCCATGGAGCAGCAGTGTCTACTGTAGCTCATTTTTTCTACTTCATAAAGGCTACAATCATCACCATTAAGGGCAAAAAAGGCCACAAATTAAGACAATAAGGAAAGCAAACAGTTAATAGAATCACAGAATGGTCTGAGTTGGAAGGGACCTCAAAGATCATTTAGTTCCAACCCCCTGCCACACCTTCCACTAGACCAGGTTGCTCAGAGCTCCATCCAACATGGCCTTAAACACTTCCAGGAATGGGGCATCCACAGGTTCTCTGGGCAACCTGTGCCAGTGCCTCACCACCCTCACAGAAAAGAATTTCTTCCTCATATCTAAACAAACCTTCTCTCTTTCAGTTTCATTCCCCCTTGTCCTGTCACTACAGGCCCTTGTAAATAGTCTCTCCCCATCTTTCTTGTCGGCTCTCTTCAGGTACTGCAAAGCTGCAATTTGGTCACCCCAAGGTCTCACCAGAGCAGAGCAGAGGGGCAGAATCCCCTCCCTCCCCTGCTGCCCACACTGCTTTGGATGCAGCCCAGGACAAGGGGGGTTTCTGGGCTCCCAGTGATGGGTCATGTCCAGCCTCTCACCCACCAGCACCCCCAAGCCCTTCTCAGCAGAGCTGCCCTTGGTCTGTTCATCCCCCAGACTGGATTGGTACTGGGAGTTGCCCTGAACCAGGTGCAGCACCTTGGACTTGGTCTCGTTAAACCTCATAGGATTCCTAATGGCACATTTCCTGAGCTTGTCCAGTATGAAACTTCTTTTGGAGATCTAACCTCTGCCTTTTGAGTTATTTTCTCTAAAAAATGTCGTTGATTGACAGACATATTTTATCCAGAAACATAGACTAGGCAATTTTTGAGAGCAGTGGCCAAAGTTAGGAAGCACGGAGGGTCCAGGGAAGAGGTGGGAGAAAATAGTTTATTCACTACAAATACAGTTTTGAATTTTACTTAATTCTTTTAATTAAAAAATTTTAAAAATTGTTCTATCAAAGACATATTTGGAGAAATTTTACTGAATTATATTGATTTTTGTTTCAGAAAAATTATTAACAGTATTTAAAGAAACAAAGACTGTTAAAAAATAAATTTGCTATTTGAGCCACAATGATTTCTTTTCTCAGATTTCTTATAGTGATAAATAAAAAAATTATTATTCCAAATCAATCAAAGAATTACAATTTAATTACAATGTATATCTGTAAAGCAAACACCATGACAAGCTCTTCAGGAGAGACCGTAATATAAGAAGAAAAAGAATAGATAATGTTAGCAATCTTTTTGCTAGAGCTGTAAAAATTATATTATTAATGGATTATATATTATTGATAATTATATCTTGTAATGTTTTGAACAAAATGCCATAAAAAAATTTGAGCTATGGAACACTTTAATATGAAATAAGAGAAAGACTTACACAGAAACACTGTGATCTTATTTATGATTTTGTCTGTATTTGATTATTTTAACCAGGCCTAAGATGAGTCTATTGAAAAGCACAAGAACTTTAAATCTCAGGGAAACCATATCTGTATACTGTGAACACAATATTCCATCCAAAATAGCATCTTTAATTTATTTTGTCCACACTTGTCTCTCCCAACAAGATATCACATCACTGTATAGGAAGCATCAAAAAACGATCAAATGGGGTGTAGGCAACATTAAAGTTGTACTGTATGTAAATTATATTGCCCAACTCCCTCATTAAAACCCATAACAATAAAAGACACAGCCAAGTTTTTTCTGCAAACTACCTACAGCTTATAACAACTGAAATTCCACAGGTGAAACACAGAATCCAGCCTAAAAACCTATGCACAGCAAGAGGGTAAATTGGTGCTTTGCCCTAATATCTTTGGTATCCAGCAAACCAGATCATTATCTGCAACTTCATTCATTTTCTAATTGTATTTTATGAATTTCAGATGTACAGAAATAAATTTCTGCTTATAAATTTCCAAAGACATCTCTACTTCCCAACACCCACTACAGTGTTGCTTTGCCATTCCTGTGATTTTAATATACCATCCCTGGAGTTTTCAGCAGACAATCTTGTTTGCAATGCTGAAATACTGGTAGGTAAAGGGAGACTGACAGCACCCAGAAAAAAAAAATAATTCATTTGTAAGGTTTTGAAAAAAACACAAAATGTGAAGAAACAAGGACAAGAGAAAAGAAGGTAGAGAAATAATAAAAATACATACATTTGGAAAATAAACTCATTTTCTAATTGAAAAGGGTAGAAGTCTTAAAATGTCAACTTTTTCTTTTTTTAATGACAAACTAACAACAGCATTTTGAACATATTTATGATATATTTTTCAAATTTTTTCCCAATAATGCAGAACACCAATCTCTCAGAATTAGTTGTCAAATGTCTGGAAAACATTCTTATTAAAAAAAATGTGACTATGTGTATTTGCTTACCTGGACAGTTAAGCAGATTCTGGCCTGAACAGAATGCATTGTAAAAGAAATCTGTAAAAGAGGGGGAAAAAGTTTCATTATAATTTATTTATAATTAAAAATTATAATTATTTAAAAAATTACTAAGTTTTGTAATGTTTTTAATGACAAAACTTAGAAAAAAGTGGTTACTACTATAGAGAAATTGCAAGCAGCAAAATAATTCTAAACAAAAAGCCTCTTAAAATCTATCAGGTCACTGTTTTCACAAAAGATTTCTGATTGTGTGACAGGATTACATTTATAGACAATAAAAACCAAACCATGCTATTCAAAAAAGGATTAAAGGTATCTGTTATGTAGGTGGTATCAACTTTTGTGTATTTTTATTTAAATACAAATGTGTAACTATCATTATTCCTTAAAGGATTCTCAGATTTCCAGCTGGTAAAAAAACCCCAAACATATTTCTCATTAAATGTTCTTCAGGGCATTTAAATATACAGAGTTCGTTTACTTCTATAACATTTCATATAAACACCATATCAAAAGAACGCTATTAAGACTGTAATGTGGTTAATATAAACATCAGAAAATGCCAAATGTTAGCCTGCCTGAGTAACTTTTATTTCTTCAATTAGTATGGAATATGCTACAGTTGTTAGTTACTTAGTCCCACAGTATTTCCATGGGAACTCCTCTTCAGTCCATGCACAAACAGACATTCAAGAAGTTCAAGCACTGATATTTTGTGTAAATTTCATTGATTAACTTGTGGTCTGGAGAGACATTCATTCAAATCCTGATAGGAAAAAAGGTGATGCTTTTGCTATGGTCCATATAGTCTAATCATGTTTGCTTTGACTGTGTTGCAAACACTGCACAACTCAAGTTCAGCAAATTCCTTTGCAGGAAAAACATTGTCCCAGATGAGTTAGTTCCTCAGTGCCAAGAGATCAAGCTGAAAAGTGAACACTTAATTTGAGTCACATGGGCTCAGTTTTTTTAGAGGACTCAGCATTACACTGGACTTTATACGTTAGAGATCCTGCTCAGTGGTTTCAGACATTAACACCAAGCACGTTGCAAACCAGGTGACAAACTGAGGTTACAAAAGTGGGAAACACCTAATTGCTAAGCATCCCTAAAAATTTGGCGCAGTGCACTTCACATCTTGTATGAATTCTGTGGTAAATCAGAGGACTGAATTTTGTTCTCCTGGGCTTTAATCAATTTTGTCATGAGACAAAATTTTTCTTGATCAGATATGGTCTCAGTCTCTCCATTACTACAAACCAAATTCACCCTCAAAGGTGGCCCATCCACTCCCTGATTGGATCGAGAACAGTATGAAAAAGAAGATTCTTACCAAGTAAGAAAAAATTCCCCCAGCACATTTGTAGAAGGTGGTTACATCAAGCTGCACAAAGCCACTCTAGTACTGTTTGACTTTACCACTTCAATAACGTTATAACACAGGTTTTCTTGATAAGCAAATGTCTAATCAGGGTGTTTGGAATGCATAAAACCTTCAGAAATTGTGTTAGGAAGCATGATATCTGCCAGCCACAATCACCAGCTCCAGTGCTGGAACATGTAGACGATCCTCCGAGAGGTCAGGGAATAACTGACAGCATATACCATCCTGTCTGCAAACTGGTATGACAGAAGAGTTGTTTGGTAGTGTTTGATTAAATACTCACTGACCCCAAGAAAAGAAACATAATTTCAATCCTGGACTCTGGAAATTAAGTCTCATAATGGTAAGTGTCAAACAATGTCAACAAAAGGCTCTTGAAAACGTCTGTGATAACACAGAAAGACAGTTCTAGTTCTATCACCTCGCTTCCATTCATCAGAGACAGCAGTTTCTGGCATATGGAACATCATTCCAGAGTTGAGTATTGGCCAACAAGCCTTACATTTTTCATTAAAAGGTAGGCCAGTGACCACAGTGCTGAGAATTTTGGAATGGATCAATAAATAGCAACAGGAAAAGGTACAGACAAACTGCAAACCCTGTCAAGTCAGCCCTATTATCAGCAAAAACTGGAATGTATCCTGCTCAAAATCAGGGTTCTTCTTGTTACATTACCACTCTTCTGATGTAGCTAGACTTGTTTATCTTAATTTAAAAACTGGGATTTGGGTCAAACAACTTTGAGATGACACAGTCATGTTGTTACCATTTCCTTTGCCATCTACCTGTTTGTGACTTTTGAGAACATCTACCTCATTTCAGAAAGACATATCACCTGACTTATCCTCCCAGTCCCAACTACAGTCCTGTTACTGGGTTTGTGCCACTGGACTGTGCAGGTAACTGTAGATAAAACAGTTCCTATCCTCACATCTAATAGCAAGAAAATTTTGAGCAATTTAACAGTAAGAGAATTCGAGCAAATGCAAAAAACAGTGAAAAGAAGACTGATGATAGGATAAAGGATAAACTAAACTGGTGACTATGCTTTACATAATCCTTTATTCTGAGGTCCTATACAGGAGTGAAATGAGTTGTACTCAAAAAACAACAACCAAACAAAAAATAAACCTAAAACCAACAGAAAACATAACCAGAATCTACTGCTATGCAATCAACTGGACAAACAGTCCAAATGTGTCCAGAACAGCAAGACATTCAGGAGAATATCTGTCTCTTGAAGATAGTCGTGTTTGTCTGAGAAAGACTACTACTTTGTGCACTAAAAGTCAGCAGTCTTGCTGATGATTGCTCCTCTACCCTTTTCCTGACAGTTTTGTGAGGGAAGCTTTGGATTTGAACTCCAACCACAACAGCTATATCCCACCATTCTCAATCACCCATGGTTAGACTCCAGAACCAAACATGCATAGTCCTGATGATTATATTTGTTTAGAATCAGAGAGGAAACTATCCTTCCCTGTCAGACTTCTGGGTACTTTTGTTGTTACTTTCAGTGCGACGATAGGCATGAAAACTGAGCAAGAGTAAATGCATTAATGACAGACCGGATGCAATTTACTTATCTTGGCCACGTCTCAAAACTGTGATGGTCACCCATCCCTGCTGATGCAGGCATTGCTGCCAGCACTCCTGTACCAGCCAAAAGTTCTGAACATATGACTCTGCTCTAGGGAAATAAAAGCAGCAGCTCCACTTCCTTCATTAATTACGTCTCAGCCTTTTTCAGAGCAAAAGATACTGCTCACCACTCCTTGGTCCACTTATCTCTCTATTGCTTAGAGAAAGTAACTTGAATTCTTTACCTTCTAATGAATCAAAACCAAACTGTTATTCCCACTCTCACTGGAGGAACAGGCATCATGAAGAGTCTGATGACTGAAGACAGGGTGTTTTTTTACCTGAGATAAAGTCCAAGCAAGAAATGACGCAAGTTTCCCTTCTAGTTTGCAGAGTCTGCAGACATAGTAGCCAACTTCTTATTTTCAAATTGAGCACATATGATACAAAAAACATCAAGGTACTGGGACAATTATCATGCAGTTCTAAAGATACAAATTTTGCAGTCACTTTAGAGGAGAGCAGTGTTTTTAGTCTCTTCTTATTCTTTAAACATTTAATAGTAATCCTATTTTATGCATATTAATTTTAAGTCATAAAGAGATTTGCAAGGGTATTGATTTCATTGGGAGTTAAGGGCTAAATATCTTTATTTGGAGCCACAGCCTTCATCCTATTAAATCTCTACATTTATTGTCTGCACACAAATCATTATAAAACAGGCATTATTCAAGAAAGAACTCAATAGCAAGAGAAAAGCCCAATTAACAAGGAATTCAATGCAATTATGGAGGTTCGGAAGTTGCCTGGGGTTGTGTTTGCCTGCAAATCATTGGGGAAAGATGAAAAGGGAAGAGTTTGTTTCATCCCCCCTTCCAAAGTATTTTTTTTCACTTCAGGTCTACATTATTAATTTTTAAAAGCTGAAGTATCAGGACTTCTACAAAGTCACAGGTTAGGAACAAAGATGCCATGAACTGGGTTTCTGGGGGATCTTTATTTTGCAACACTGTCATCAGTGCCGGGGTTATCCCTATCAATAGCTAAAAGCAACAGACTGGAGCTCTTGTCTATAGCTCTTGGATGTTTGTACATAATTAAACTGGCTTTTCTGACCCTAGTCTGTAGACATTAAAGTCAGGTCAGCACAAACAATCCTGGAATGTACATTATAATGCCTAAACTTCTTACACCCACTTCCACACCTATTTATGGGAAAAAAGAAAAAAGGACTAAGAACAGAGGGCCAACTGAAATGGACACTGGCTAATTAAAGTCAGGCTTTTTAAAGTATTAGAACCTGCCTTATTTTATTATTACAGACTCGAGTCTTTCTATAAAAAAATGGCACTGTAAATCCTCCAGCTAACAATGTAAAGTCAACGGATAAAAGAAATCTGTCAGTTTATATACCCATTTAAAAAAGTTGTGGAAACAGGAGGATCACAGTTGAATACCTTTGTGATAGCATTGAGGCATTTCAGGACAGCATATATTTCTTTACACAGTGTTTTTATGGCCTTTTTGTGTGTAATATTGCGATGGGCTTCATACACCTTCTTACACCAGCAAAATACTGGGCTGGTTACAAACACAACAATGAACATGTTCAGTGAACTTTGAGAGCTGCACATTCCTGCTTTTCAGCATGCAACTGCTTTATCCCCTGTGGCAGCTACCCACAGCTTTCCAGCTTGGAATCAGGCTTCTGTTCTCAAGGTGGATTCAGATATATTATGATACATCACTCTTGGAAGGATGATGTTTATTTTCACAGTTTTTATCCCTAACATTTTCCTAGAAAGTAACCAGCTGAACTTAGCAAGGGTTTCCAGGGCGACCTCAATGGCCCCAAGACACTTATGGCTCTACTCAGCATGCAGTGACACAAGGCAGAGATACTGGTTCCTCCATCTCAGTCCTCCTGAGAGGGATAGCAGCCTGTACATACATTGCCAAGGCTGAAGGAAAGATACACAGTTTGAGATGGACCTTAGCCTGGCTGTACTGACTAATGTCCCATGAAATAGAAATATGGTTGCAAAAAGTGAAGGATGCCCAGGCTTTGCAA